ATAAGATAAAACTTGAAAATAAAATTAAATAAGATGATTTTTATGTTTATTTATAATATTTAAAATAATAATTATTTATTTATTAATATAAAATTTTATTTTTTGTTATATATTCAGTTTTTAGTTTTCAAACTCCCAAGTAATAACCAACCAATTTTTTTAATTATAATTAAAAAAAAAAAAAAAAAAAAAAACCTAAAAACCAAATGCATCTTATTTTTTAATCAATTTTCGGTTAACCATTCGGTTAACTAAAACTAACCATTTGCCCACCCCTCCCACCTAGCGGACGTGAAGACACTTTAAAATCTAGAAAATACCCGTTTATAAACCCGTCTGCGCCTCGCCATTTTCATTTAGTAGTCACCGTCACTCATACGCGCAACAGCTCAGCCTTCGCCGTCCGATCGTAGATATCGCCGTCGATTTCTAATGGCTCCGATTGCTGTTGGTGATGTGATCCCGGACGGAACACTCTCCCACTTCGACGAGCAGGATCAGCTCCAGAAGGTTTCCGTGCATTCCCTCGCTGCCGGCAAGAAGGTCATCATTTTCGGAGTTCCCGGCGCCTTCACCCCTACCTGCAGGTCTATTTCTCCTCTCTTCTTTCCGATTGCTCTGTTAGATTTTCTCTCCTCTCATGTTCCTGCGGTCGAATTTATGGTTTGATCGGGATTTGGTTTGGTTTGGTTTGGTTTGGTTTGGTTTGGCGCAGCTTGAAACATGTACCTGGCTTTGTCGAGAAAGCGGAGGAGCTGAAATCCAAGGGCGTTGATGAGATTCTTTGCCTCAGTGGTAAATCTCTTGTTCTGCATTCTAAATTTTCCCTTAACATTCGTACAAAGCTTATGTGATGGATGGAATCTATTGATTATTCTTAGATATGAGCAAGAATAGGATTATCTTATTATGATTGACTGAAAATTATACAAATATTACATAGAAATGTGCCTTGCACTTCGATTCTTAAAATATGTGTTCCTTTTGACCATAGGAAAATATATATGGACAAATTGTGTGTTAGGTATCCCTATAATTGTCCATTAATTGAGGAAGGTGGGGGAATAAAGGCTCCCCATCTTTTAATAAGTTAGGCACACAGTCAGAAGAAGGGTCGAGAAAGTGAGCCACTTAGGGAGATGGGGTTAAGGCCACACATAAAATTGTTAGGTTCACGCAATTTTGTTTTTTTTTTTTCCTATAAACGGATAGTTATGTTATTTTAAAATAGGGTTTTCTATTTTGTGCTCTAAGGGATACAGGTGAAGGACACTTTTTTAGCATTAATTATCATTGAAAAAATAAAACTTGATATTTATTTAATTAACTGTCTAATTAAAATAATACATATAATATTGGTAATAAAATTGATATCAGCTTTTGTTATTTTCTATACCAATTAATATTAAAAAGTGTATTACACCCTTAACTTGTGTCTTAATAAATCCTTTAAAATATTAGTCTGTAAAGTAATAAATGTATTAGTTATTTCTAACAATTAAATTACATAGAGTTAGTATATAAAAGACAAAATTTAAAGGTTTGTGTAGCCCCAACAATTTGTTTAGTGGCTATAACCATTCCCGGGAGATGGTCCCTTTCTAATTTTTAAGAAGGAAAAACCGCCATGTGAGTGGTCGGATTTGACATCTTGTATTTCAAAATGTTTTTCATTTTGTTTTTATTGTTCTTGTCACCTCTAACTAAGTAACAGTGGATTCTAGTTTTACGACATATCTGTGCCCAATTATTTTCAAAATCTTGGCATATTTAAACACATGTTCTATTGTTCTTTACTAACAAGGAAATGAATGATATATAATATAGATATGTATAAGTAAAATGTTGGGACCTGAGAAAGTCCTAAAATCCTATGTCTTTAAGGAGGACATTAAACTTCTCCGTGGATGTTAGTAGTGCTCCACCTAAAATTAATAGAAACCTCTGAATTTTTTCTTTGTTTTTTATTTGTATTTTCCCCATCCCCTATATTTCCCTTTGTTAATGAAAAATAAATGGCAGAATGTTGGTTATATAAGTAGATGTTTGAGTTGCTTGGATGTTAACCAAACCAATTCTTAGATTGGTGGTGCACAGTAAATGTGGTTGCTTTCCTAACTTCTTGTCATTTAAACTTAGGCTTGAATCTCTTCTCCTGATAATGACTTTAACGTGGAATTAAATTTGCAGTCAATGACCCCTTTGTGATGAAGGCATGGGCCAAGACTTTCCCTGAGAACAAGCATGTCAAGTTCCTTGCTGATGGTTCGGCAACATACACTCATGCCCTCGGCCTTGAGCTTGACCTCAATGAGAAAGGGCTTGGCACTCGATCTAGGAGATTTGCTCTCTTAGTCGATGACCTCAAGGTGAAGGCTGCCAATGTTGAATCTGGTGGAGAATTTACTGTTTCCAGTGCAGACGACATCCTCAAAGCCCTTTGAATTCTCCATCTCTCATTATGCACTATGCCTTAGAGATCCGAGCCCTTTTTATGTCTTTTGTCGTTTATACAGTTGTGTTCAATGGTGCTACGGATCTAAGAAACTTTCTTCCAAGTAATAGTTGAATGGAATGGTAAGAACATATCTTTCTCGATATATTATATATGATTAATGATTATGTTTTCTATGCCCGATGATTATGTTTATATAATACTAGACTAGAACGTAGAATTGGTATGAGATAAGAGAATGCTATATTCTTTAA